ACTCCTTTCTTTCTTTTCTTTTCTTTTCTTTTCTTTCCTTTTCTTTTTTTGAAGCCCAGGGTGTTGTAGAGGCCAAGGACCAGACCCGCGGTGATTGCTGGCAGCGGCAGCCGATGGTTCTCCTGACAGGATAGACCACCTACCCTACCCATCCCCACGTTAATGCTCCCAGCGCACCTCCTGTTCTTACTATCCTACCTCAGTGTGACCAGCACTCGGGGCCATCACCCCACCATTGTCGAGGGCAACTTGGACCAGACAGCAGTGACAAGCACCAAGGCTGGGCCAGCACCCCAGCCCTACTGGAAGCAGAAGTGGAAGCGGATGAACCTTGCCATACAGGAACATCGGACCCCAGGCTCATGCAATCTTCTACAGGCCCAATTCAGGGAGTCTACCCAGCAGGATTACATAAGCAAGGCAGGCCAGCGCCCGCGGACACATCCTACCGTCCTTCCCCTAGCTAACCCAAGCCTAGGCAGAACTCAGACTAGCCGGAGCGACTTATATCCCTACCCTACCCTAGACCTAAGCCATGCATGCGTAGACCCCGTCATGCACATTTCGTGAGTACTGCAGCCAAACCCTGAGAAATCTGCCCCCACATCCCCCAACCCCCATCCCCCAAAATCTGGCCCCACATCCCCCATCCCCCACCCTCCACCGCCCCCAGTTCTGTGTTCTTTTGTGTGTTTGTGTGTGTGTGTGTGTGTGTGTGTGTGTGTGTGTGTGTGTGTGTGTGTGTGTGTGTGTGCGTGTGTGTGTGTGTGTGTGTGTTTGTGTGTGTTGTGTGCCTGTGTGTGTGTTTATGCGTTTGTGTGTTGCGTCTGTCCGACTGTGTGTCTGTGTGTCTGTGTGTGTGTGCGTGTCTGTTTTTCCTTTTCTTTATTTGTTTTTTATGGTTTTGATTTTTTCTTTAAGGGATAATTTGCAAAATACCCCCATAAGTTGAGATATATGCCAAAATGCCCCTGAAAGATGTGGGTAGAGCGTAGTGCCCTTTTGGTCCGAAAGCTTTGTGTTACGCACCTGTCAGGTGGGTGTGCAAATTTGCAATCTGGACCTCGCCATTTGGGCACGGCCTTTTGCAACTGGGCCTTAGGAAAGTTGTCAAGTTCTGGGTATTTCGCAAAGTTGGATGGTACCCGGAAGGGGTATATCACAAAGATGGGGGGTCCAACCGACAGGAGGGGTATTTCACAAATTTTTATTTTTGCAAGAGGGGCATTCCGCTCTACCCACATCTTTTTTAGGGGCATTTTGGCACATATCTCAACTTATCGGGGTATTTTGCAAATTATCCCTTTTTTTAAATACACGAAGTCAAAAAAAAGAAAAAAACAATATGTTGGTGTACATCTTTGAAAGATCTGCAACCCTATATTTTTTATTTGTTTTTCTGTTTTTGTTTTAGCCCTTACAAAATCTCTGTGAAACCCCAAAAAAAAACCACCGGCGGGCCCACCCCATCTCCGACTACCGCTGTTGGGGCGGGGGGCAACATGAATTACCTCGTTTGCAAGGCCCTATGCTTGCAGGGGTCCCCTCTATATAGTCTTAGGAGTAGTGGTAGGAAGGTAGTGCAAGGTGAAAAAGAATTTGAGAGAAGAACATAGTGTAGTTAAAAAAAAAAAAAAAAAAAAAAAAAAAAAAAAACACTCATTTCATTTTTTGTTTTTGTTTTTTTCATTGTGTTTATGTTTTTGATTTTTTTTAAACATACTCAAACATCAAAAAATAAAAATAAAAATATAGGGTTGTAGTCCTCGAAAGGACCTACAACCCCTTTTTTTCTGGATTATGTTTAGCCCAAAATCATCGCGGACCCCGTTTATACCCGTCCAACTTTTTTTCTGGATTATGTTTATCCCAGGAAAAAAATCATCGCGGACCGCGTTTATACCCGTCCAACGGGCATTTCAACGGGAATTCAACGCGGAACCCGCGTTGAATCCAAAATCGGACACACAGCCCTCCCACTAATCCTCCATTACCCTCCCCCCCTCTTGCAGCCATCCACATTGCCCTCCTTAATTGCCTCCCCCGCCTCGCCCTCCTCTATCGTCCTCCCCCATTGCTCTGCCTCCATCCCCATCGCCCTCCCCGCTTGTCCTCTTCCATCACCCTCTCCCCTCCACTCCCCATCCCCCTTCGCCATCGCTCTTCACCATTCCTCAGCAACCTCCATCGCGATACCATTCCTCGGCAACCTCCATCGCCATACCCCCTCGTGCTCCCCGCTTGCCCTCCTCCATCGCCCTCCCGCTAATTCTCCTCCATTAGCCTCCCCCCCTCGTGCTCCCCCTTGCCCTCCGCCATCGCCCTTGCCCACTCTTCGGCCTCCTCCATCGCCCTGCCTCATCGCTCTCCCCCTCCTCCTGCATCCCCGGGCCCCATTGCACCCCCCCCTTTCCCCCCACAGCATCCTCCTCCATGACTGTCCTTCCATCCCCGTCCCCAATTCACCTCCCCTAGTAATCCTCTGTTGGTCTCCCCCATCATTCTACTCCCTCAAGCTGCAGACCTCATCACGCTGCTGCGGATTTCGTCATTGCTTTGCCGCAGCTGTGGTGCAGACCTCATTGCGCTATTGTAGAATTCATCGCCATCGCTGCTGCTGCGGACCCTTGTCGCCATCACACCACATCTTCTCTTCTTCAATCTTCTTGGAAGAGAGAGAGAGAGAGAGAGAGAGAGGGAGAGAGAGAGAGAGAGAGAGAGATTGCTGCCATTCCCATTGCCCCTTCCCCCGCCCTTGCCCTCCTCCATTGTCCTTCCCGATTGCTCTGCCTCCTCCGTCTCCCTGCGCCATCGCCCTCCCCGCTCGTCCTCCTCCATCCCCCCCCC